GAAAGAGGTGGTTGTTGATGATTGCGAATCGGGCGACGCGGGACTGGGTCTCTCCGCCGTCGCGGTCGGGAAGGTGTTGCTGCGCCGGCGCTCGTTAGAGGCACGGGAGCTAGCCACGCTGGTGCTGGCTGTGAGAGTGGGCTTGGGAGTTGGCCAACCCTGTCCATGGCGCAGCGAAACCCAAATCGAAGTAATGGCAATGAGGGTGCGTGTTGTTTCGTCGACGGCGTGCGTGGCCTTCTCCTCATGGTCAGACGGAGACCAGGTTTCCTCCGTCTCGTTTACTGGGAAAGGCCGGATCGCAGGGCGCCTAGTGGCCCCAGTCGTCGCCCTTGGCATGGTGTAATTGTCGAGAACCTCTAGGTTGGAGGGTGTCAGAGTCGCCATGACCGGATGCCTCCTCGACGTCGGGTCGATCATGCTGAACGTAAACTTGTAGTCGCCTGGTGGAGACGACAGCCCAGAGAGGGTGGTGGTGCTTCCCAGGCTGGCGCGCTGCCTTGGTGTCTTCTTGACCCATCTGGCCGTTTTCGTGATGCCGTGGGCGTCGGTGTGGCGGAACTCGAAGCCATTAGCGAACGAGCTGGCCATCCACACGGCGCCGTCGGTCAGCACAATCTCGGCCAGGTCTGCCGACGTCTTGTCGCCCTCGCGGCGTGCGGCCACGGGGGAGATGACGGCGACTAGGTCGCGCTGGTGGAGGTTCTTGATGTCGAGATCCACATCGGGGGCGTCAAAGTCTTCACTCCGTGCCACGACCAGGTCGTCGAGGCCGAGGTGGCCCCTCAGCTTGAACATCTCCGGGCATCGCCGGGCCAGCCGCGGCAGGATGTGGGTGCCTGTGAGGAGGCGCGAGGGAAGGACATCGAGGGTCGGCTTGGGCCGCTTGTCGGCGGACAGTTGCTGCAGCTGCAATAGGAGACGAGGGCGGATCTGGACGAAGCGGCGCTGCTTCGTTCGCAGCCTTTGGGGCGGGTAGGCTAGGAGGAAGTTGGCTGCAGGTTTCGGGGTGCGCCTGGTTCTTGACCTTCGCTGGCCAGTAGTGCCGTCGAGGCTCGCAATGTCGCTGAAGCCGTCGGAGAATGTGTCGTCGTCTGAGGGCGGGTCAAGAGACAGTATCCGGGGTTCCTCGTCGAAGCGAACCACCTGCTCCTTGCGTGGTGAGATCTCGGACACTGGTCGTCTCTTGAAGGCGTCGGGTCTTGAGGGAGTGGTGCCTGTGCTCTGTAGGGAGAAGCGTCTGGGTAATGGCGAGGTCGAGCGCTCGGTTGAGGATGTAGGCGTGGGCGTGAGAGACCTAGACGGGCTGCTCTGGGACGCCAGGGCCGATCGGAGGCGCTGGGTGGCATGCATTTGGTTTCCGGATGTTTGTCTGTTGGAGAACTCGTGGCCGTGTAGGCTCGCTCCCGAGTGAAGAAACATAGTGGCGACTACCTAGACGCCAAGGTCAGGTAATCGCCCTTGGCGTGGGCGTCGGAGAAGCGAAGATAATGGATGATCCAGGAACAGGGCGTGAGAAGAGAAAAGAAAGCGGCGTTTCCGAGGAGGCACACGCTGCTTGTCGTACTAATGGGGTGGTCCTCTTCCCAGCAGAGGCCGCGGAGGTCATGCGCAGCACAGCACACCGCGCGGGAGGCCAAGAAGGGAAGGGGGGAGCGGCGGCTCGGTGGATGAATGGGAGAATGGCGAATGGGGAAAGGAAGAGGTCGGTTCGGTTTTCGGTGTCGGGCTGGGGGAGAAGGACAGGAGCTCCAAATGCGAGTCCGTACCAGGATCGTATTCGGACCGGGAGGTGCAGCTGCAGGGGGATTTGCGGGGTACAGCGCGAGCCGGGCGAGAGCTGCCTGTTTGGATAAAGGCAGCGTGCAGGCAAGGCCGGGATGGTGTCAAGCGAGAGGGTGTGTCTGTGTCAACGTCGAGGGGCGATGGATGTCGAGGAGGAGCAAGTCGAGAGAATGAGTGACCAAGATTGGAGAGGCAAAGTCGAAAAGGAAACGGCGACCCGACGTGAGGTAAGGTAGCCGGAGGTTGTAGGTAAGCGATGGAAGTATCGGCTGGATGATGCTTGCTGCTCGAGCAACGAGGAGACGCCGTGTTACGTGAGACTGATGTGGACTTTTGGAATGACGGGCGAGGCAAGGTACAGCTAAGTACTCAGGTACCTGTTCCAATTGCGTGGCTGACGGGAGACTCCGTTGATGTCTAATCGAACCAGGCACCAGGGAAAACAGAGAGAGAAGATGACGAAAATTGAAAACCCTCCGATCGAGTAATATCTGACGGGTAAGGTAGGGTACGATGAGCCAGCTCGGACGGCGCGGCGAATTCCAGCGGCCAGGTGATGCCGTCGTGGACCTGCGGGAGTCTGGTCGATCCGGGAGAGCCTGGGCTAGTGCTGTACTAGTACTTGACTTGACTCGCCTCGGGCGTCGGGGGTACAGGCGTGCGCCTCAGTGGGTTCCCAGTGGATAGGGGAAGGGGAAAGGGGGGATGAGCCCGGTTCTAGCAGTGGCCCGATGCCCGGAGGGCTGATTGATTTGATCTGAGGCAGAGCTGACGGGGGGCCGAAGGGGGGGCTGCGGATGAACTGCCAATGGGAGACGCCGGAGGGTGCGCCTGGGTCTCTTTCGGGGACGTGAGCTGCCTGTTCGGTCGGGGGGTGGTGGTTCGGGCACCGGCCTGTCAGCGGCTCATGTGCGGTTTTGGGTTTTGGAATGCGATGCGATGCGATGCGAGATGCGAAGGGGTTGTGGAAAGGCGGGACCCCGAAGCCTGGGCGCAGGTGAGGCTCGAGATAGAGTGCGCTGTGGGCGAGAAAGGAGGCGCAGCAGTGTTCTGGAATGGATGTACAAGTAATGGTGGTGCCTGGTACGGTAAGGTAGGCCGAAGACAAGTCGGTAGTGTCGATTCTTTATTGCCTGTCGGTATGTTTGATGTAGTGCGCCTCGGCAGCCGGAGTGCTCGGCGAAGGAAAATTCAAAGTCGATGATGATGGAGCCCCCTTGCCGTGCCTTGCGTTCCCTTTCCTTGGCCCTTATCGCCGTGCCACGTTGTTTAGTGAGCGGGATGTCGGCGGCTCGACTCCCCGACAGCTGCTCCACGTGGTGGAGAACGGGAAGAAGAAGTTCTGGGTCTGGTCTGGTCGAAAGGGGGGGGACGAACGCAAACACGAACTGCAAAGAGTCGGGATGGAAGACAAACATCAGCCCGGGTTTTCAGGGGGGCACCTCGTCAAGATGTATCCTCAGAGCCTTAGAGCCGCACCCCGAGCTTCACCGTCTTCTCCCCGAACCTGATGTCCAGTCCCCCGCGCGGTTCCAACTTGCTCAGCCCACACTTGCTTCTTCCTCTCCCCCCAACACAACACCACGTCTTGGCTCCCTTGCATCCGTCACCTCAACCCACCAGCTCTGCCTGCCGACCGGCCCGCTGACAGCCCGGGACGAATTGTCAGATGGCATGGTGTCCCCCCATCTCCATCCTATCCGCGTGCGTGCGCCCAGCGTTGCGCCCGGCCTCGGGCGAATGACCACCAATCGAACGGGGCGCATCGGTCGCCCGGGGCGAGACCCTGCACCCCTCTCCCAGGCCACACCGAGGATAGAACGATGGTCGCCCGTCGCATCCCTCACCAAGCGCTGACCGCCAATTCATATCGCCCACGGGCTGAGAATCGCGGGCTGAGCTGGGGACAAGTGTGCCTGTTGCTGCGGTGAGCTGAGCGGCCGCCGGTGGCACTGAGCCTCTATTCTAGCACCGACTGATCATGGACATCCAGCCAGCTTGGGGGCTGAAGATGCACTTCAACCTCGGTGTCCGATTTTGTCTTGTCGGGGTCGCACAGCAATCCTCGAGGAACCGTCCCGTCACCTCCCTCCACCTTCCCTGGATCCCCTAGCCTTGTGACAGCCGGGACGCCCGGTGCGGCAGTCTGTCTGCCGAACCTCCCGCGCTGCCCGGGTACCGTACCGACAGCTTCTCGTGTGGCCAGGTCTGAGTCAAGTCTGCCAAACCCAAGCTTCAGGAGCTGGAGCTTCTATTCTTGTTGTTTCGGTTCACTGTTCACTAGTTATCTGCCACTACATCGTCCCCTCATCATGGAGCACCTTACAACATGTCTGCGTTTCCATCAGCTGACATTCTGTTGCTGCTGAAATGTCAATTCGCTTCGTCAAAAGCCCTACCAGCCCGCTGCTGACGGCAGCTCATAACCCCAGGGCTGCAGCGGATACAACCTCAGCTGCCGTGTCCAGGGCATCCTCGTCAATCGCCCATCACCCGCTCTCACGCACCTCCTCGAGCTCTCCAGCTCCTCCTCATCCACCCCGACGGGATTCCATCCCCGACGCATGATTGGCCGCGGGCCCCGAGTCGCCGTTCGATGAGCCCGCCAAGAACCCGTGGCCCACCCCCTCTCCCACCACCACACCACGACACACGCTCCCAGCCGGAAGCCGCGGACATAAACCTCACCCTCAACCCTCGTCTCGCATCGCCTCACCAACTCCCGCTGCACGCACGCTTATCGTGGAGCCTGCAGCGTGCCCCCGTGGCTTCTTGGCTCGGCATTGCATGTGACGCCCGCGCGGCATCTTGAGGACCCTTTCGGCTCATCCCACGTCCTGCGACCCCGAGGGCGGTATTGCGGCCTCCCTCGGACTCGTGTCACAAACGGCCGGGTCGGTGCGGCTCTCTGCCCCGAATCCCTGGCTTCGGGGTCGGTGGCCCTGGACTCTCCGGTGGCGTTCGATCCGTAGCCTCTCGAGAGTTGGACCTCATCGTCGCTTTCGCCTGTCATCCCGATCCTGCGAGTCAGGCGGGGACCCGGCGTAATGATTTAGTGTTTGTCTCCCTGGTGAGATGTTCATTTTGAAGTGACGTGCTGAGTGCTCCCTGGGCCAAAGGAGCCTTCGTGGCACCCGCCCCCAGATAATCCCTTGGACGTTCCAGCGGACGTCAGACTACATTGTAGTAAATGGCTTTCTAGTCTTCATCCGATTGGCCGCGTGGCTCAATTGGCAGAGTATCTGACTTCGATCCGAAGTTTCATCAGAAGGCTGCAGGTTCGATCCCTGCCGCGGTCACAACTTCTGAACCATCTGCCTGGTTCGTTTTTTTTTTTTTTTTTGATTTTTGTCCTACGCTGCTACACGAGGACCCTGATCATCTTCTATTCGATGTTTTGTCGAGACAGGGTTCGAAACCAATTGACCGACCCCCCGAAATCAGATCCCGTATCATGTCCTCCGTCCTCGTTACATCCCTCCAAAGACCATGAGGCTCTGGATGCGCACCCTGCCAAACCCGCGCTGCCGAAGCATATTCCTGCCCTGATGGAGGGGAAATTCTGCCACCACCATGACGCTCACCTTCTCCCTGCTCACTCCGGCCTTCTCCAGCAAGGTCAACGCAGCACACGGCGTCTCTCCAGTGGCGAGGATGTCATCGATGACCACCATCGAGGCATCCTGAGGGGTGACATCTCGTCCCATCTCCAACATAGCAGCCTCGGTGCCTTCTCCTCCAGCACACGATATGTGAGACTGGGGCTTGGGGACACTGAAAGTCGGCGGCGGCAACTTGTTGGCGTTGCGAATGAGAGCCAGCGGGATGTTGATCGCTTGTCCCAACGCCGTGGCGAAGATGAATCCACCTGCCTCGCAGCACACCAGTATCCCAATGTCGGCCCAGGAGCCGGCGAACCGGTCTCGAAATTGCGAAGTGCACAGCTCAAACCCTTATGGCTTCTGGGCGATGTTGAGGACATGGCGGAAATCGATGCCCTCGCGAGGGTGGTCCGGAATCGACGTCACCATCTCCGTGAGACGGTGGAGCTCCTCGTCGAACAATGGGACCAGGTGATCCTTGGCGAAAGCAGTAGCTGCTGCATTCCCACGTCGCTCGTTGTTGAACTCGAGGCAAGGCTTGTAGTCCTGCTTCGCATCTTTGCGACCTTCATCGAGGAGGATAGGCGGCACCTCTCGCGTCTCTTCTCCGACAAAGACGCGAACCTCGATGACCCTGCTCTCAGGCACAAGATGCGCAAAGTTCGCGACCGGGGCATCGTCTCTCATTCCGGTGAAGATGACCACGTCCACGTCAAATGCGCTGCGAACCACATTCAAGAAGTGCTCCTCTGGAAGATGAGGTCTGCGGCTGACTTGGTCGCGGTAGAAGGCCGTGAGTGCAGGTCGATGCTGCTCCTTGTAGTCGCGGTCGTTGACCAAGGCAAGCAGATCGGCGCCGGAAGAGGCCGCGTATTCTCGCTTTGTCGCATCACTGATGCTCACGGCACGGGATGTGATGCCTGCGTCGGCCAGAGCCTTTACCCAAAGCAGTGCAGAATGGTCCTTGCCAGCCCCGCGGCCCCTAGTGACGATCAAGATCAGTCGTTGTCCCCGGGAAGACGTGGGAAGAGGGCAGACATATCTCAGCACGTTTCCGGGATCCATGGAGCGTTTGATCTTTGCCAGGCGCGCCTTGTTTGGCCCAAAGGCAGCGGCCGCCAGCTGGGCATCCCTCAGGTCAGGGCCGAGGTCAGCACCGTACGCTCCGCAACTCATGGGAAGCAGGCGCTCGGCGAGATCATACACCCAGCTCACAACTTTTCGCGCTGTCTCGGTGTCATCTTCATTCCGGGGCCACACGCCCGTGATGATGCAGGCGAACTCCCACTCCCGGCATCCAAACGCCGTAGACTCTGGGTGAAGGCCGTCCACTGATCCCTCGAAGCCGCCATGTAGCAGATGCAAATAGCAAAGAAGGGACGGGGCCTTCTCCATTGCCGTCCGAAGAGCAGCGTCGATGTACCTGTTCATTTTCGGCAGGAAAACACACCGCTTGAAGGCCGACGTCTTGCTGTTGCCGCCGAGATGACCTTTGTTGAGCTCGAGCATACCCAGCTCTGCGTCGAAGAGGCCGACGGCATCAACCACTCTGTGATTCATTTCAGGCCCCAAGACCGAGACAGCCCGCTCTGTTGCTTCTGTATGAGCGGAGAGTGCAAGCGTCGTTGTAGCGGTGGGAAATGCCTCGAGAAGTGACACTCATAGGCAGATCTGGCGAGTCTTTGGGCACCAGTGGATGTATGCGTCTGAGGAGGCGCTCTTTGGTAATTTGGTTGCGAGGCGATCGCTGAAGTGTTGGAGAGTTATACTTGGGGCCTTGGGCTTGGTTCCGTCGAGAAGGGGTAGGTTCCAGTTGGCGACGGCGAAAGTGTAAGCTGGAACGGTGCGGAAAACGACGCTGAGGACGATGGCGACCTGATTTCCCGCGCCTCTCAGTGCCCAAAGGATCTCGTCTTCGTTGTCAGGGCGAGAGGAGCCGGTGGGCCGGTGCTCGGCGGGCACGGTACCGACGTAGAGGATATCGCCCGTCGCCGGACTCACCATCACTGCACCGAGGATGGCATCCGACGCAAATCCGTGGAGTCGCGTCAAGTGACCGATGCCGCCCTGGAGCCATAGCCCTGCGCCAACACTCGGGCGGGACCCAAGAGGGATGGTGACGCCCATATCTGTGGCTTGCTGGATGATGTCGCCTGTTTTGCAGCCGCCTCCGGCCACCAGAATCGTCTCCGAGTGTTTGGAGGCGTCGTCGGTCACCGTCTGGAGGATGTGGATGTCCGAGAACGCGCTCATGTCGATGCCCACCACGCCAGTCCAGAGTCACTGGCCTCCATGGCCGCCACCGACAATACTGAGCCCGAGGTTGTGCACCAATGCCCACCTGACGCACTCCTGGATCTGATGAGCCTCCGTCGGCTTGAGGACTGCAGCAGGGCGGCGAACGCGGGCCTCTCGGTTCTTGAGCGTGTCGATGCCATCGGATAGGGGCACCTTGGATGTGATCTCGGATAGGGAAGTCGAATGCTGTGAAAACAGCATCATGGTCTCTGGCGCACTGAAACGAAGGTTAACACCGGGGTATTTGAGCCGCAAACTGTTGTGCTCTGCTGCATCACGGCATATGTCGCGCCATTTCTTCTTGACTGCGGCATCTGCCGGAGTGAACCCTGCAATGAACTGAGCAAAGTCGTCAATCTCGCTATCATAGTGGGAGATGTCGATGGTTCCGGATGGGAAAGAAGCTGTGTTTTGGCACACCAGGCCTTCGACGTTGAGACTCTCTCGGTGGAAGACAGCAACAACCCCGGAAATCGGAAGCTACATTGAGGGCCTTTCGGATGATGGTCGCTTTGTTGCCCATACCGTACATGCTGTGGCACAAAAGAACAAGGTCGTACCGCCTGTCATCAAGAGGCGACGTGGGCGGGAAGGAAAGAGGAAATATGCGGTGCTTTCGAACGCCTGGAAGTGGTGCTTCGCTAGAGAGAAGCCATTTCTTGCACGAACTGGCAAGGTCTTTGTTGGGCTCAAAAGCGTCGTAAGTCTCAATCTTCTTCCTCATGTATCTTGGAAGTTGCCCCAGGACACTCTTCCCACCTGGGCCGATTTCGAGAACTGAGATGCGGGAACGGTTGCTGAGGAGACGACGCACCACTTGCTTCAGCTGTGGGATGATGAAAGTATCGTACGCCGTCGATCCGCACCCTCGCTTGACGAGGTTGAAGCATAAAACGTACTGATCGTCGTCGATGGGAAGCCGCGGACAAGAGGCGGCGTCGGCCGATTGGCAAAGAGCCTGCTTGAGTTGGTCGAGCGTAGCCATCGTGCTGGCCAAGTTGGGATGAAGGTTGAACCAGAAGTGCAAGACCTTGATGGGAAATGGAACCGTCGTTGTTTTGTACGTCTGATTAATCATTCAGCCTGTTTGTCAGGCAGCAGACAGTAGGAATCCTCTTGGGGCTTCTGACTCTACCTCGTGTTTCCAATTTTACCAAACATTCGCCAAATGCAACTCGCCTCCTGCAATGCAAATGCCCGTAGCCGACGGGTGCGGCTGCAATATTGATTGCCTGGGCGAGTTATCTGATGCCGCGTCAGATGATAGGATGCTGGATTGGGGCAAAAGGACGGCAATCTGACAGCCATGAGACCCGTGTCGACATGATGCATGCAGCCGCAGGTTGTTTGAGTGGGTATGAAAGGCTGCTGACGCTGCCATCCATTCTTTTCTCATGCCGGAGGCCTTGCAATTGGAGCCTGGCATGTCAGGCTGGGCGGTAAAAATATACATACAACTTGTTTCATGGCTCGCGTCATGTCTCGGGTAGCAACATTGGCCTTTCGAACGATGGTTCGGTGCCAGTACCTGTGAAGCTTTCTGGAGTGAATGGTGACTGGTAGAATCCCGAAGACTCACAACCCAAAATCTCGCAGAGCGTCTTAGAGTGATCTCGACTGATGAGGTTGGTGAAAACAACAGGCGCTTGCAAACAAAGTCTCATGCTGATGTGGTCTTCTCCACAACATCCAACAATGAGGACTCAGGATCAGCAAACATTTCAATCTGCAAGCAATCTTAATCCGTGTTCTGCTACGGTATGAAACGTGGGCCATTATTCGTGAATCATCCAGCCCCCTCCAAGGCCTAGTCCACCGTGCTGCCAGAGCCAGAGCTCGTGTCGGAATCATCTACTGGCATAGGCCCCAGCACGCTGTCGGAGATGTCAACGTCGAACTCCGTGTCCGGAGCGTATGTGTAGGCGTCCAAAAGCTCAGAAAGCGTCGCAGTGCTCGCGGGCTTCCAATCTTCGAAACCCAGCTCTTTCACAATCTCCCAAGTGACCTCTTCGTCATTCTCATCATCCGAGAATGATTCAGACAGAGAAACAATGCTGCCTCGACCCCGCAGAGGGTGAGGAGCTGCAGGAGGATTCAGAGGTCCGAACCGCGGTGGGTAACCAGGCGGGGGACAAGCCTCCCATGCCGGGTGCGAGCGATGGCAGCCTACCGAAACCGGACCGGCTGGAAGTCGTGGGGGGTGAACTATGACCATATTGTATGTGCGCCCAGCACGAAGTAATGTCGAGGATGAGCCGTGGGAGATTACAGCGCCATCTTCCGCTACGAGCTTATAGAAGCCGCTGGAAATCGAGTACTGCCAAGGTGGGTTCTTATTTCCTTGAGCAAAATAGGCAGTTTTGACGTACTGGTACATGACAATAAGTTAGCGAAGGGGT